TTATTCTTTTTGATGCTGTTGTAAGTTTATCTTTAGTTTTATTTTTGGGATAGCTATTGCTAGTGTGTGGAAACACCACTGATTTTTGTATGTTGATTTTGTATCCCGCAACCTTACTGAATTGGTTTATTAGTTCTAACATGGTTTTGTGTGTGTGTGTTTGTGTTTGTGTGTGTGTGTGTGTGTGTGTGTGAAATAGTTATAGTTTTTCAAAAACAAGATCATGTCTTTTGCAAACAGAGATAATTCTACCTTTTTCTTTCCAATTGTATCCATTTTTTTCTTGCCTAACTGCTCTGCTGGGACTTCCAGTACTATGCTGAACAGAACTGATGAGAGTGGGCACCTTACTTTGTATTAGATGCTAAAGTAAAGTTTGTTTTTTCCCATTGATTATGATGTTAGCAATAAACTTTACATATATATGGCCTCTATTGTGTTGAGGTAAGTTTCTTTTATACCTAATTTGTCAAGAGTATTCCCATGAGATGGCGCTGTATTTTGTCAAATATTCTTCTTTATCTGTTGAAATGATTATGCTGTTTTATCTTTCATTCTGCTATTGTGTCTTATCACATTTATCAAAGTGTGTACACTGAACCAACTTGTGAGCCAGAGGTAAATACCACTTGGTTATGGTCTATAATCTTTTAAAATTGATGTTGAATTTGTTTTGCTAGTATTTTATTGAGACATTGCATCAATTTTCATTGGAGATATTGGTCTTAATTTTCTTATGGTGTCTTTCTCTGGTTTTGGTATCAAAGTGATGGAAGCATCATAAAATGAACTTGGAAGTTTTCTTTCTTCTTCTATTTTTTGGAAGAATTTAAAGATTGATAATTATTTTCTTTGAGTGTTTGGTAGAATTTACTTCTTCAGTCATCCAGTCTTGAGATTTTCTTTGTGGAGAGGCTTTTGATTACTGATTCAATCTTCTTATTTGTTGTTGGTCTGTTTAGACTTTCTATTTTTTTTTTTTTCCTCAAATTCAGTCTTGGTATGTTGCCTGTCTCTAGAAATGTAGCCAATTCTTTTAGGTTATCCAATTAATTGGTGTATAATTGTCCATTCTAATCCTTTTGCTTTTTTTTTAAAGCAGGATTTATCAAGAGGACAGAAAAACTCCGAGTGGGGGGGCGCCTGAGGGGTTGCCCACCTTTTGCCTCTTAAGAATACATTTTAATGCCTTTTCTTGCTTTTTTGATAATGCATCTTCTCTATTTTCTTTTTAGCTTAGCTAAGGGTTTGTCAGTTTTATTTATTTATTTATTTTCAAAAATCCAACTCTTAATTTTATTGTTTTCCTAGTCTCTGTTTGATTTATTTCTGCTCTGATTTTTATTGTTTCTTTCTTTATGCTTACTTTGAGCTTAATTTGTTCTTTCTTTAGCTCCTTGATTTGTAAAGTTAAGTTGTTCATTTGAAGTCTTTTTTTTTTTTCCAATAAAGGTACTTATTGTTACAAAGTTCCCTCTTGGTGCTGTTTTTGCTTTATCTCATAAGTTTTGGTATGTTGTATATTTGCTTTCACTTGTCTTGAAATGTCTCTTTAATTCCTCTTTGATTTCCTCATTGGCTCAATGGTTATTCAAGAGTGTGCTATTTATTTTTCACCTTTGTGAATTTTCCTATATTTTTGCTGCTATTGATTTCCAAGTTTACTCCATTTGGTCTAAAATACATTTGGAATGATTTTTAACATTCAAAATGTGTTAAGTTTTTTTTTGTGCCTAACATGTAATCTGTCTCAGGGAATGTTCCAGGTGTGCTTGAGAAGACCATGTTGCTGAAGCAGACAAATATTCTGCTGTTATTGGGTGAAATGTTATATATGTGTTCCTGAAGTCCAATAGGTGATAGTGTTCAAGAACTCTGCTTCCTTATTGATCTTTTACTCGGTTGTTTTATCTATTATTGAAAGTAGAGAATGGAAGTCTCCTACTATTATTGTATTGCTATCAATTTCTCCTTCAGATCTGAATATTTACTTTATATATTTAGTATCCAACTTGGATACATATATGTTTATAATTAATATATCTTCTTGGTAAATGGACTCTTTTATCATTAATGGTCTTCTTAATGTCGAGATAGTTTATGCCTTTAAGTCTATTTTGTCTGTTATAAGTATAGTCACCCTTGGTTTCCTTTGATTGCCGTTTTTGGAATGTTATTCTATGTCTTCACTTCTAGGCTATGCATATCTTTAAATTTAAACTGAGTCTCTTATAGACAATAGGTTGCAAGATTTTGATTTTTTAAATTTATTCAGCTCCTTTAAGCATTTTCATTGGAGAATTTAGATCACTGACATTAAAATGGTTTTCAGTCGGTGAGGTCTTATACCTTTTGTTAATAAGTTTCTGTTTATCTCTTGCTTTAATGTTCTCTTTCTCTTTTACTGTTTTCCTTTGTTAGTTGGTTATTTTAAAAATGATTTTCTCAAAGCTACATTTATAGGATAATGGGAATTACTTATTTCTTATAGTTAGAATTATTTAGAATTAGTGTTTATGTTTTAGGACAGATGCGCCTCCTCTCTCTCGTGATCTATTTCATGTTGATTAGTTTCTTAGCCTCTATTTTCACCAGTCCAAACCATTCTTCATCAACATTGTTGACAAATATCACCACCACCATTATAAAAATACAGGTTATTATGACTCTCCCTGTTTCCTCTTTCCCATAGAATACACTCCAAATTTTTTAGGATTGCATACGGGCACTCTGGATTTATTTGTATTTTATCTTTCTACTATCTCCATGAAAACTATTCTTTAATCACACCGACCTACTTTATATTTTTTAATGTTCCATGCTCTTTCACTCTTCTGTGCCTTTGTTCATATTGTCACTTTTGACTAAAATACCCTTTCCCACTTTTATATATGGTAAATCCATTGACATTCCTTGAAACACAAGTCAAATATGACTTTTTCAATTTTACAATTCCGATTTTCTTCTCTCCAAGTCTGTAGTCCTTGAGTTATCTCTAAAATCTACTATGTGTATGTACCTAACAAATGTTTCTGGAATGAATAATTTGGAAATTTAAAGAAATATGAAGTGGGATATTCCATTTCATTGATGTTCTTTATAAAAATAAATCTTACAACAATAATGTTTCCAAAAAACTGTGAGTAGATAGTATTTTAATAAATCACAATGTGTTCCAAAATAATTGATTGAGTAATGCTAGTTACGAAAGTCCTATTGTTGCATACATGCTCTTTAAAATTCTTTGTCTATTTATCTTGTGTGTATAACCTTAAGATTGTTTGACATAGAAAAACCCAATAACCAACCAGGGTATATAACTTTAATTTTGTTTCTGGTTATTGAATTAGGAATGGAGATTTGCCATTTTCTGTAGTGTAGGATTACTAATGATATTATTTTTTTTTTACCAATTTTAATCAAATGTTTGTTCACTTATGACCAGCCTATATGGACCTTCTTGGGAATATTGTTTCATAGCACAACATCAAAAAGAGAAAAATACTTTATGTTAGAAGACAGAGAAAAAAATAGCATTCTTGTAGAACTAGATAAAAGAAGGAGGCCAGTGAAACACTATTTTAATATTTTATTTTGAAAATACATAAAAGGCCAGTGAATGGTGAGAATGCATGTAAATTAAGCACAATTAACAGAATACTATTTGAAGAGCACTGTGAAGCATGTTTCTCACGTGTATGTCTTAGTGGAATTCTAAAATATTGGAAGAGAAATTAGGAAGTGAAATGTATGGATGTGTAGTTCCTTTTTCAGGGAATCGAGAGGTATGGAACACAGTGGCAAACACAGGCAATATCAACTGTCTCTTAGCAAAATAAAGATTTTGTCTCTCCAAAGTATGCCGAAGATTGTAATTTGTTATGGCTTTGAACCAGAGACTAAATAATATATACTGACTAAATAATATATTCAATTGGTCTTCAAATGGGTAGATCAATTTGAAAAAATTAATCAAGGTCTCATTTATTTATAACACCATATAATTTATTTTAATTAACAAATGTGGCTTCTTTTATATCTGTTGACTGATGGCTAGGAAATGTACTTATATTTTAACATTGCAGAAATGCTCACTTAGGTATTTTAAGCAAGAGATTTACTATCAAACATTATTATCCTTTACAAAGAACAGCAGTTTACTCTAATCATCATAAGTCAACCTTTAAAACATGCCAAAGATCTTTACATTATCCCCTTAAATTTCAGGAGTTGGTGCGACCCACCACTTTAAATAGAGCTGGAAATTAGAACCCATTGACGAGATTCTGAATGACTCTTCACAACTCTGAAAGATAATGCCTGGAGCTTTAATTCCAGCATACATAAGAAAGTAACAAAATGGGGGGAAAATAAAGTTGGTAACAGTTTATTATTATTATTATTATTATTATCATCATTATTATTTTGAGTTGGAGTCTCACTCTGTCGCCCAGGCTCGACCTGTTGGACTCCGGCTATCCTTCTGCCTCAGCCTTCCAAGTAGCTGGAACTACAGGTGTGTGCTACCATACCTGGCTCATTTTTGATTTATTGTAGAGATGAGGTCTCACCAAGTTGCCCAGGCGGGTCTCGAATCCGCGGACTCAGGCAAGTCACTCACCTCAGCCTCCCAAAGCACAGGATTACAGGCTGAGCCAACAAGCCCGGCCCAGTCTATTATTTTTTAACAAAGTTATGAACTTTGCAGCAACTTGGATGAACTTAGAGTCTATAATACTGAGAGATCTATCACAGAAACAAAGAACTGAGTATCACATGCTCTCACTCATAAGAGGACCTTGAACAATTATCATAATGCTATAAGAAAGAGATTGACAATAGTGGGAAATTGCCAGTGGTGGGGCGGGGGGGATTGGCAGTAGTGGGACATTTCCGGGGGTGAGAGCACATCTCATCAATAAGGGTCCCTGCATAATGAACATTTGTATACCTAACCCTGAATTGTACCCCACATCTTTAAAGTTAAAAATTAAAAAAATAACAAGGTGGCTTTGTAATACTATTGCATAAGAGAGTAGGCCACTGATCATTAGACCATAGACTGATTAGGATTCCGCATATTTTCATATTCCTCAGCATAACGTTGATATTGATCAGTGAGGAGGGGCTGGTTGGCTTCATCCATGTTGCTTCTGGAGCGAATCAGGCAAGAAGCCCCCGCAAAAATAACTGCAACCAGCAACAAAGCAGCCACAACTGCTATGGTAATGATCTCAGATATACTAAAATCCCGACCTATTTGAGAAAGAGATGAGTACAAAGATAAATATTAAAATAATTATCACCCAGATTTAGACACCTCAAATTTTGCCTCTATTTCAGACTCTTTAACAGAAATCTTCATATTTGACTGATGTTGGCCAATTGCCTAAGACAGTACTTGTCCCCTCAAAGGTACTTTCTTTCAAGGAGTGAACATTATTGGGATGGCATCTTTCCATGATTGTTTTTTTATTGTTATCTCCATTCTAAATGTGAGAGAATGACGAATCCAAGAGTTTCAGTCATTCGCCCAGTCCCTTAGTTTAGCAGGCAGTAATTTTGAAGTCCAGATTTTCTAGAATTCAAACCTTTGCTCTTTTACTATTTCCTACTATCTTTGTTGAGAAGGAGATTCAAAATTAAGGGAGAAAGTTTTGAATTTCAAAGTCTTAGATAAAGGAGGTCAGAGTATCTCACTCCCTCTTCCTTTAGGACGGATAAATGGAGATGGTATGGGGTAGTTGAAAAATTGGGGCCTATTCCCTCAGCCTGAGTTCCAAACTCATTGTCTTCCTCTAGCAGAGATGTGCATTTTAAACAATTAAACTCTTTAAGCCTCAACTTCTTTATTTGTGAAATGAGGACTATAATCTTCAACTGTGAGGATTAAATAAGATAGTGTACAGTATAATCAGCTCAATACCAGGTTACAGTGAGCTCTCAACACATGCTAAACTTCATCTCTTATCACCAAACTTCATCTCTTATCACCAAATAAAAGGCCAAATGAAAGCTTTGACATCCAAATGGTTTCAAAGATAACAAGTCTGCTTTTGGAAATGATCACAGTAAAAATATACTTTCCATACTCACTTGGCCATTGAACTTCATAAGTGTATCCCAGGCTGTCTGGAGCAGGAACAAACATTTCTGTGTTGGTGACTGGAGGCCAGAAGGGCACCATATTGTATTGTCTATTATGTCCGATAGGGGCATTTTCCAATGGAAATGTGGATATATCTAAATTATTCCAAAGAGAATTTGTTAATAGACACAATAGAATAAAAATTAACGTCATTATTAGGTTCTATAGGGGTCCAACTTCCAAGGAGAACATTAAACAAACATCATATTTTATAGAGAATTAAGATAAAAAGAAAGTTTCACTACAGTGTCGGTGACCAGCACTGACCAAGGGTGGGTTAGGACCCGCACCAGAGAATCTGGACAGTGAGAAGAGACTACTCGGAGGCAGTTCTTCTGGGAACAGTCTGATCAGGACTGAAGCCAAATTTTATTCGGACTCCTTCCAACTTATATACCATTTTCTATACCCTCCAGCAGTGTGATAATTATTTACTGGGGGCGTACAAATTCCATGATGTATTATTGCGGTTTACAAATTATGCATCACA